GAAGTTAGCTTGTAATAACATTCCCTCCATAGTAAATAGAATGCTTGTGATAACAATTCGTCATTATCTTTTCATTGTGTTGATAGTTGGGTATATATTAGAAAAAAGCTAACCTTGTCGTATCAGTTCTCTAAATTACAATCACTAAGTGCCCATACCTCTGCTGGATACCAAGTGCTACTCGTGGCCCATGAAATACTTATTACTGCATTCGGAAATAACAATCAAACTATTATTACATGGAGTAGTGAGACAGAAAGCGTATGAAATTTAGATATTAGTGTGTATCTGAAGTTAACGACACAATATATATGTGCATGTTTCATTTCCAAACTAGAGAATTTTATAGGGTAATGTAGGAGTGAGCGCAATGAGTTAATAATGTATTCTTTACTGCATACATCTTGTATGACTGAAATGCTTCTATTCAATTTTCGGCGAAGCTTCAATATCACCCTGCAGGGTTTCTTCAATGCACTCTCATAGGGAATAATACTTGGTACTGAGGAATCCAGCCAAAAGCATCTGTGACACAGTCGAATGACTTTTTCAACTAAAAGCCGCAATACTGATATTAAGTGTGATTTACCTGTAAACTGAGGGACTCTAGTGTAACACAGCACCATATCCCAGCAGGGTATTCTTTGTGTTTTACAGGTACAAGTAGAATTCATGGACTGAGCATTTGTTAAATATGGAGGCGACCCATTGAGTCACTTAGACGAAAGGCTGACGAGATGCGATACCTTACACATGCACTTTCAGATGTAGGCATGTGTCACTTCACATGAACTCTGGACCATATCGAGTAGGCATTCCTTTAAATTAATTATTGTTCGTATATGTGATGACTTGGTGCGTTTCCTAGTTTGCCTATAATTACGGAATGTACATTATATTAGGGAACACAAATGGATTTTGTGAAAACCAGTGGTGTTCCTTCTCTAGTCTTAATTGATGTCACATTGATTGACAAGATTAAAGGAATAGATTGTAACGTGGTGTTTTCTGTAGCTGCGAAACGTAATTACCTAGTTTCGAATTGACATCATGCGTCTAATCCTATTAACCTATGTATATAGTTCTACCTTCACGAAACCTAGAAGTCAGGAGCGGACTCTCTTTGACAGATCTAGTTTTACTTTGTGACTAATTGGTGAGTCACCTGGTGTTGTGGTAGTTAAAAAACAACTCCAAACCTTAGTATTTTCTAGAAATGAACATATTTACTTACTTTGGCGACAATTTAATCCTAGGGATATTAACCTTTACTTAGTAATTTGGATCCGAAAGTAAACGCCATGTTACTAAGTTATTCAAAAGACAGAATGATGAGTGAAACAGTACTCGGATACTTATTCTAACGAAACCGAATAATGATAATCGTTTAGCTTACCAATATGCCGCTTACTTTCAGTCTTAATTCAAAGACAAATTTAATTGCTCACTAAATTAATAGTTCCAGAAGACTGCTCTACTCCTGTCTTCGAAATACTTTACCCGATCGTGTTTTACTTCAAAATATGTGTATACTGGCCAGCTGATGTTGCTTATCCACTTACACTGTTTTTCAGTTACAATGTCCCATCCATTTCCTATCAAACACAACATCTCTTAAACCATCAACGAGTTACCATCATTTCTAAATAAATAAGCTTAACTATTCGCATGTAAACGATGCTATAAACTTTATCACTTACGTGATGTTTCAAATTTCGATTAATCAGTTTTCCCTTACATGAGCACCTGTTTCAATTTTAACGGATATTTCTAACCTTTGACTACTGAATTAGTACGTTTCGTTATATACCATCCATACGAAATATAGGTACTGATAATAATTACTGCTAACAGATTTATCCCGAGAATGTACTCCATACTGACGACAATATTCCTCAGGGGCGGACGTATCTTCTAAACGCGCTACTCAATACAACACATGACTCTAACCCCATAACTCTGTAGCTCACAACATTCTATAAAGTTAGTAGTGACTATTAACAAGTAGAATGTCTATTTGAGGTGTAGAGAACACATTTATTAGTGATTCGACACAAAATACAAAATCAACGGTACTGGAAACCACTCTCTTCAGCAACGAATCCCACAAGGTCACTGGGACTACAGATTATCTAAAAAAGAAAACAAGGGTTCACAGGATGTATACATGAATATGACTACCAATATAATATTAACGAGATAGCACAGTAAGAATTAATGAAAGTTTATATCGATGTGCAATTACATCAGTCACTATTTTTGACACAAGTGAATATTTAGACGAAGTAATAAGAAGACGTAATTTGTCTGAGTCGTGTAGTGTTGTATTTGTGCAACACATTTTGGACAATGTGGTCACGCATGGACTTGTTATAGGAATACATATGAGATTAATACAGTTAAAAGTCTAGAAAATAAATTTAGGTGGAATTAAAACCACATATTGGAGGTCAAAATAACAATGAAGATCACTAAACCAAATATCAGAGGTACTAGTACATCTACCCTGAATAGTATCAAAACGAAGTTTAACAAAGAAGGTTTCGTGTGATGACGAATAGTCTTGGAATTCACAAAAGTGGTTTAAACTTCCTAATCAAACTTCGGCTTCCACAAACTTTAGGATGCAATCCAAACACGTTTTACAGATAGGTTTAAAAAATGTGCAAACGTCAGTTTTATGTCCTGTCCCTATAATATGTTTCGAAATAGAGGAGCTGGGACCCCATTAATAACTTCTGAAGATTCTGTTGCTTCTGGAGGCATTTAGGAATATGATGCGTAGCCCTTACTTGCAGAAGTCGATGAGCCTTCCCTAAATGGATACAGCAACCACTTCTAAACCTTACGTCCATAGCTTTAAGAGATGTCGGACACTACTTCTACGTGGTTTTAAAATAATTTTGTGAATTAACTTCGAACAAGCGCGAATAATGTGGCGTCAGGACAATAACAGAAATCGGAAGTTTATGAAACCAAACTCACTAATAGGACAAAGTGACGCACACCACTGATGTCTTTACGCACCTGATCACGAGGATGGTATTGAAATCCACCAAATTACTCAAATGTTGCCGTGTGCATTTAAATCATTTAAAAATTTTGGCAGAAAACACTGAATGTTGTAAGTGATCGTAAAACATATTACAGGTTCTTCCCATTTGTGAACACTGACTTTCGCTTGTATCTATGCATTCCATTGACTTTCAGCTATCAACACCACACAAAAGTGCGGAAGGATGCTAAATTTGATATCAACCATATTCCTCGGTTCCTGTAGCAGTAAAAGGTACTGCACAAATGCTGATAGGTAAATTTGAGACCGAGTACAAGTTTCCGCCAATCTGCAAAGAAATTTATCGAATGACAGTCGTTGAAATGTACGCGAAGCTTACTCGGCATGCCAAAAATCACTGCATGAACCATGTATTTAAGCGTCCTGTCACACAAGCAATAAGTAAATGCTCAAGAACAATATCGAACAATAATTTTCATATAAATTCATCCAACAAGAGCAAAATAAGCACCGAAATCGCGTCTACTGCGTTTGCTGGACGACTAGCTCCAACTCGAATCAACGAAGCCGCGCAAATGCCGTCAAGGTTAAGCCAAAGGCGCCACTTCAAATAGGGGATATGCTTTATCAACGCCCGTCAACATTAAGCTTTTCTCTTGGTTCTTGCGTACAGGCTTATGTAACTCATCGACGTTGTCCTCCGTGAAGCAAACTTCACGCAACTATATGTTAATTAACCATCTACGTCACCTCCGAATTCTATTAACCTTATCATTCACTTCATGTTTTAGCCTTCCAAATACAAATGGTCTAACTAAGCAAACTGAATGGATTCTTCTTCCCTCTCATTTTTGTTGCTATCTATCACGTCCTGAAATTGCAAAAGCGGTGATGGTGATAACTGTTAAAATCATGCAACTGTATCGTAGATGCGCTAAATGTTGAGTGCTGTTCAATTCAAAGTTGAACGTTTCTTATATGAAATTTTCGGCTTCTAAGTGCACCACTCATTATAAGAAATGACCCTAATGTCGTATACTTTGTTGCTAAAGTTGTTCCTAAATTCAGCACTCAGTTTCTCCAGGTAGCATATCCAAGAGAAGAAAGATGAATGCATTTATTGATGAAGTGTTAAGACAATACAAAATAAAGGACACTGACGAAATCATCTTTTTCGGTGGCGAACCCCTTGAAGCCATCGAAATCAGTGATCACTTGAGTAAAGAAAGCAAGAGTCGAAAGGACGTATGCGTAATTATTACCATCAGCGCACTCATAATTATTGGGTTAAAATGCAAAGAAATGATACAAATTCGTTAACTTAGTATGCAAAAGTTTCACTCGATATTTTTAACTCTGAAGGAATTGGATATTGCAACTGTCTCTAAACCACACGTTCAACGCGTGTGTCTATATGATGTGAAGGTATCTCTGCGGATTTTTATTGAACACACGCACATAAAGCAGTTTTATATCGCCTGTGAGAAGCAAGTCACCGAAATGCAAGTAAATACAAAGAGAGTGGACACAAATGTTAGATAAAAGTCATTACCTATCTGCCCACGACGGTGTTTAAGCAATTCAAATGGAGACAGGCATTAACGGAAGTTATTTACTTCATTTATCAATATTGAGGGGAAAAAGTGGTTTTGTAACTGCTCGTTCATACTACGCAATATCTGTCCAGATATCAACTCCATTTTTGCTTATATTTATGGATTTCATTGACGTGAGAAAACCGGAACACCCCAAAATTGTGTAGTGACACGAACAAGTATCACACTTCCCTCAGAGAATGTCGACAATGAGTGTCAGCTGATCGAAAGGCCTACAGCCAAGTACTGGCTGCCAGTGTTTAGTAATTTAGATAAAGAACTGCACGCATAAAAATAGGAACACTTTTAATCAACCTCTTAGTCACCTTTAAGATTCAACATTGAAAAAGAAGATTAGTTTGTTTAAATCCGCTACCCAGCTGTTAAGCGCGTTCGTTGGACGTTATGTCCGGGGTAAGGTTAGAAAACTCAGATGTTTTTGAACGTGTTGGTGGAGAGGCATATGGACGATCAGATGACAGTGCACAGATGGACTCAAAGGATAATGGTCCTCATTATACAATTCAAGGAGTTCTGCATTTCCTGCAAACAGAATGGACACGCCTGGAGATGCAACGTTCTCATTGGGAAGTGGAACGAGCAGAGCTACAGGTTAGTGGATCACAAAAGATTCCTTTTTGTGTGTGTTAATGATTTTTATAATGGCAAATCCATGGCACTTCGATGAAGAACAAATTGTTTGTAGAATACTGACGAAGTTATCAGGGATTTATGTCAAATCAGTCTGCCTCTTTTGTTTCCCCCTTCATGGTAACTCCAGTTAATCCTTTGTTCGCTTACTAATGAGATACTCGGTCTTTTTGGAGCTCGCTAAGCAGATGGAGAGTAGGTGGCATCGTGTGGTTATATCCTGGGACTAGGCATATCAAAGTGTATGTACTCAAGTGTTTGCCACAAAATATTTTTCTTCCCTTGAGTTTGTCAGCATTGTGTATACGCGGGTGTTTAGACTAGTTAGCGGAAAAATCCTTCCTTGCATTTACATAATCACCTTAATCTAAAACATATCCTTAGGTCCTAACTCAAATCGAAACCTTGACCGTGACTTCTAACCCTAGTTTCTACCTAAGCTTTAACGTCTACACGGTTTTCATAGCTGTAATGGCTTAATTTTTCGGCGAAGTTCTTTTGGTGGCTTACATAGTTTCTTCGCCACATATGCACTCACTGGTGTTGCTTTTATTTCACAATTCTTTAGTGTATGTATACAGTAAGCGTGTAACCGGAAATGTGATTCCAGAGTCCCAGTCGTTTGTTCACTGTGACGAGGCTGCAAATTTTCAGGAAGTCGCTCAGTAGTAATTGACCGTCATTTTGCGAATTTTAAGAGTCAAACTTTAGTACACTCATTTCCAGAACCGCTCGTTTTCCACTCCTTAGTGGGACACTGCTTAAGCTTGCTCTTTTAGTCTCAGCAATCGGGTTTTTTTTGCAGGAAGGGGCTATTAGCCTAACACTATTGGGTTTACTGCTGACTGAGGTTTGTAGGGGACTGTTATAAGAGCTCATTAACATTACAAATTTGAGACTAATAACCCAAGTCAATGAGACGCTAAATAACAATATATTACCAAAAAATGTAGTAACGAGTTATAGTAATAAAAAGGGTTACTTGGATATAAAGTTAGAGTCCTCTGCTACAAATTATTTATATAATCCACGGGAGTATTCACTGTTGGAATTGCGTTTGCTGTAGATGCTGTGTGCCGGTTGTGGAATTATCTTCAGATGAGGATAGTAGACTCTTACAATACATCCAAAGGATACAACACGGTGTGAGTGAAGCAAGTGAGTAGTAGCGGCCAGAGAGAAAGCAAAGTTCCCAACAGTAAAGTGTATTTCCATTGGTAACGGGAGTTAAGTATATTTTAACAAGAATCACTTTCAACAAAAATAATGTACAATGTCTCTAGTTTATACAACTAACAAAAACTGTACAATCACATTGTTACGTACTCCACAGGTTTTAGGAGTCTGGCAGCTCCCGGAAATAAAACCTGAGATCATGTGAGTAGTTCACTAGCATTCTATCAGTGAATCACACTGGCATTGCTGTTTGGTTTACCTATCTAACTGATTATTATCTAGTGCGTTTGTTATTTCGTAGCATGTCTTAATTCATTTTACTTTCTGTGTACATACATATAGGCACGAATAGCATTCCTTCAAGGCGAACGTCGTGGACAGGAAAATCTCAAACAAGACTTAGTACGACGTATTAAAATGTTAGAGTATGGTTTAAAACAAGAGCGTGTCAAATTTCATCAATATAAAGCATCAATTGCTGCTGGTAATGCATCTCATGCAGCCAGACAATCAGGCAACCAGGAGTCAACTAATTCTCCAACGGATACCAAGCCTGAACTATCAACCACCGCTGCTACGACAAAAACTGTCCTTGAACCACGAGAAAAACTTGCTCAATTCACAGAGCAAACATTAGAAAGTAATGTAAAGTGGCGAGAGAGTCGGTTACGTCTTAAACAGTAAGTTATTTTAAATGAATAACCAGAAACATCGTTGCTATTATTACTATTTTTTGGCGTGAGATTTCATTGGTTTCCCACGCATAATTCAATAAATTTTATTCCGTACCATTCTTCAAGTTTTAAGAGTGATGTTTTCAATGTTAATGGGAACATGATTAATACTAACATTGTTATTACCATTGGGGTGTTATATGAGCGTGAAGGCATGTGCCACACGTTTTTTAGGGCTAAAGTACTGCTCGTGCGTCCATACTGAAGTAGGTTGTCACCATAAATGTTTATGTGATATATGAGATAGCAGGACTATCAGGAAACTTCCTGTGATTGATAGTGGCAGTTTCTATCCTTGGTTTCCACAACCCATGCGGATAGAAAGTTAGGAATCGGCTTTCCACCTCCCCTAGGTGGTGAGTGCCGGTCGTACACATTCACCTTCATTTATTTTTGTAAGAACCTTCCTTACTGCTAAGAGACAGATGAGCAGGACTTACCTGACAGAGGTCAAAAGACCATATTTGAGCAATTCGAGAGGAAAAATAATGTCTGCTCACCCTCGGTTCTACCAGGTCATTTGTGGGAAGGATAAATGACGATATACCGTCAAAATTATAATTATGTAGAGGGCAGATTTTACGAGTTTCTGGGAATAACATGAGCACTGGGTAGGATTGAATAATCATAAAAAGATCCCAGCATGTTCACAAAGTCATAACAAAATTTGTCTGAACACATTACGTTTTACATTGCTCTGCTGACAAGTAGCCATCGAGTGAGTTCACATTAATTCATGTAATTTTGAACTATATATTTTGATTGATTAGCTGTGATAAGAAGCTGTGACTGACACAGCGAAGCTTTTGGGTATACAAGTTGCGCATGCTAAACCATTGCCTTCCTCGTCAGACATTGTTAGCGGACAGGATTATTTAGTTCTCATGAGTTAGTATTGGGACAACAAATTCCTTGGATCAATTCATGGCGTCTTCGACAGTTTGAATCGGGTACTTATGGAGGTGTAGACTGCCTGGCTGGAGACTGGTGATCATACTCGGAGTCGTTCCAATTGGCGCAAATGCATTCATTCTTCGTAATCTCCCCATTTCATTGAGTTCTCAAATTTTTCCATGCTACAATTCTTTCTTCTCTACATTTCTGCTCGTTATTAGCACCTTTTCTCTGCTTTCGTGTGCTAAGTTGTGTATGGTAGTTTGAAGAGGTGCACCTCTATGCAAAGTTCTATGTCGAGTGAAACTCAGTGAAGTCACTATCGGTCACCTCTAGGTGGTGAGTGGTTGGGCGAGACGTAGCCACCGCAGCCCTTTGTGATGACTGCAATTGCTATAGATTTTTTGTGTGATGATGCCTTTGATTCGCAATTGAAATTTACGCTTAAGCAGTTTTTATCAAATGTACATGACTATAATAAGGGTGCTGGAAAGCCCTGATTGATTCTAAATCTATGATGTACATGGGCTCCGGAACCCGAAAGGATTGAATAGTATATGCTCCTGTTATGGTCACCGGAATCCATGGCTGGATTACTTACTTTACTTTACTTCGGCTATCACCTACGGGAGGATCAGCCGGCTTCATGAACGTCTCGAATCATCGCTGCTCAGGCGCGGCAATTTGTAAGAGAGTTCATGAAGTTTCATGGGAATTTGGTACGAGTGATGTCCCCAGAATCGCTCGGCCTTTTGTTTGAGAGTGCAGCTCGAGCCTTTACACAGCCAAGTGTGACCTACAAGGCAGTAGGAGTGGAGTAAGGAGTCCACTATCCATTGGCAGCCGGTGACCGGAGTTCGGTTCATACGCCTTTTTGAATGGGGCCAGACATCCAACAAGCCCTTGGTCCATACGTCTGCCGGTGAACTCCAGTGAGCTTCATACGCCAGTCGTTGGAGGTTTGGAATCAGGGTTTAGCCATCTCCCCTAGACCGTCATCCAATGGGCAGTCAACCCGGTGGAGAGCGCCGGGCATCCGCTTTCGCCCTCTCACTTTGGTGAGAAACACCTCCGCCACGTGAAGGCAGTGAGTAGGACTTCCTCAGGAGAGGCTATGTAAGACGCCCGGTCATATGGGAGCATTTCAAGAGGTGTGCGGAGGGGTGGCCAACCTGCAGCGCAAGGCACCCACCCCCGACCATCCTGAGGCTTTGGAGGCTGGATTACCTTGTGTATCACACTTCAAGTCGAGGGCTGTTGAGTGGGCACTGGCCCCGTAAGGCAACCTCTATATGCTACGGTCGTAGTGTCCGAGCGTTAATTATTCCAGCCTTTGTAAGGACTGAGATTCTGTTTGGCGCATCATTTGATGCCCATAATGTGTACATCAAGTTTGTGTTGTAATGTCTGTCTGTTTTCGACATAGAACTTTGCACAAATGTGCGGAAGTTCAAGTCGCCACATTCCGTGTAGCACGCGAAGCAAGAGAAGAAAGTACAAGAAAAGCATAATAGAAACAGTGAGCAGAGGTGTGAGACAAAGGAGTAATAAAGAAATACAAAACAGTTTCATTGAAGATCATAAGTCACAGGGAGTGGATGCATCTGCGCCACAGAACGATTTTGAGCCATGTCACCAATTGTTTCCAACCATAGATTTTTACCGTCCCGTGTTGTAATAATGGTAACAATAGCATTTTCGTACTTTAAAAAATCCAGGTTTCTTCAAGAAGTTGGTTATGCTGACGCTGTTCTCAATGTTCGTGAGGCACGTGTTCGCCAACTTCTACTATCCGCCGCCGGTTGGCCAAATGAATCTGACTTGCCGCTATCAACCCAGGATTCAAAGAATAAGCCTTTTGATGGGGTTAAATCACAGATAGGCGATAGTACAAAGTAAGTTATGTTAACTGGAAAAGTAAGACTATTCTTATCGCTGAATCGTAGGTTTAGTAGAACAAATTGAGAACCTCTATCCGGTTGTATCTCTTGATGAGAGAAAGGCCTTAATCTCCGAATCTTTAATAATAATAATAATAATAAAATCACCTCATTTCAAGCAACAACAACGATTATACAGAATGGAATTTCCAGCGTTTTTCACAGGTTGCAATAATTTATTTTCTTTTATAATACGTAGAGATAAAAATAAACCACCACAAACATGGGAAGTTACTGGAATATGATGACTAATAAATCAATCGATATAAACTATATATATGTAATGACAGTTCCGGTAGTAAATTGCTGTTTTCTGCGTTGAATTGACAGACAGGTTCATAAGCTGTTTTCTGAATTTTATTTCCATACAAAATCTGTGCCAAATATGATATGGTTGAATTTTTATATTTAGTAGCTATGCGAGCATAAATTCTTACAAAATTTCTTCTGGTCTTACCAGTGGAGAGAAAGAAGGAAAAGTTACAAGGGGGTGTAGAGGATGTTCGGTACCAGACAAGGTAACTTAAGTCAGCTAAGTGCATTCCGGAATGAAAATGCACTTGTTAACAATACTGATATCATTTAGCTGACTCAGAGGTACTAATTTGCGAACCGTACTCACTAATGCAGTTTTCTACTTAATATACAGAATAGTTTCTTTTAAGAAGCTCATGGAAGGATAACTGGGGGTAACAATAATGGAAAATACATGGATTAATATATTGTAAGATAAGAGGTTGAGTTGTGATTCCAGGAAGTCTAAACTTACTTCATAAGTAATGAGTCAAGCGAAGTATTTTATGTTTGGAAGTCAAGATATGCAACGATAATCAACAAAAGGGATTTGAAGGGAAATTGATGCCGACAAGATAGGTTATATTGTATTTACTCCCCATTGCAGGGGAGTAAGTCTCGTTTACGTCTAGAGCTAAATAGAAGCTGATAAATTTAGGGAGGTGGGTGTCAGTTTAAATCTGTGAATAAGGCCATTGGTTAACTAACCTCAGATAGGAAACTATCCGTATCAGAACAAAATCCATTGCGGAGACGATTGGAGCAGAATTTGTCGAATCATCAGGATATTTAGTAAAATCAGCTTTGGAGGAATACGGTGGGTCATGCAAAAAGAAAAATAAAGTGCGGCCTCCATGAGGTACACCAGATTCCGTATGCAAAGGAGTGAGGCGTTTTCCTTTGAAAACAGTGTGTTTCCACCTTGTTTGTTGCCCACCCTCGACTGCACCTGGCTGTTTAAAGTGATGAGATTTAAGATTTAAAAGGATAATTAATACGATGGTCTTATTGCTTGAACTTATACTATGATATTATGTTGTATTTTATTTTAGCCTGCATGATGAACAAACTAAGAACGCACTGGCTGAGATAGAAGATGCTGTCCGATCAGCACAAGATTTTCTTTCACCTAACGATAATTTAGGCATGAATAATGAGTTAGGTGACCGATCAACGCAGCCAGATACTACAGGGAATACATTAGCGGGTTGTGAGGATAATTCTGAATCATATGATTCATCGGGTTGGGTGAATCGTTTTCGTCGGACTAATGATACATCGAAGCGTAGACCACAAAATCAGTCAGATTATATTCAAGGAGATGAAGTGAGTGAAAAGAGAGAAAGTCATGGAGAATTATTTCCATTTTTTCATGTGATTTATTATGACGTAGTCACTTCAAAATTGCACGACAGGTGTGGGGTTCAATTCTAAAATTATCTCACTGCTAAGCTGGCGGTAATAATTTCGGTAAAAAGAAAGGGAAGGTTTGTTGTGTCTTGAGGTTAACAACCTCTTCAACCAACTATCTATTTCGTCTGTCTGTCATGTGGGGACCAGTGAAATTATTCTCAGACAGGGTTAGTTTCCTTTTGTAAATTTGCGTAAGCCAGCTGTCCGATCGTATATTAGATAAGCTTACTTGATATAACGCAACGTGAGATTATAGGAGAGGGGTAAAAATGACTGATTCCATAAATCAGTTTCAGTTAATTCGTGGTGGTTTAGCAACAAGTTGTTACATAATGATAATTTATAAAATAATGATTAAAAAGAATAGACGAATAAGTCGTGTAAGAAAAGTACCAACATCCAAACAAAGGGACCACATGAAGTTCTTTTGAATACGCACAAGTCTGCCTTATTTTGATGAATTCCAATATTCTTTGTTGGGTGTGGAAGTTGTATTAGTAGAGGGAGAAGTTGGATGGATGGTGGTGGACAGCTTTGAGAAGATTTGTTGGCGTCCACGTGACTCCAAATATTGACGAGATAATCCAGTCTTGTCAGATGCGTATGGATTTATTCCGTCCTTTGCCTGACCAAGATGAGTGGCAGTGGTGTTCAAAAATTCTATACCGAACTTGCCTCAGCGAAGCAGTTAAATCGTTAGTTAGTGTTTAAAGCCTTAATTTTCTTTTTATAGAGGTTATTTTTATGTGCAGTGTTTTTCAATTGGTTAGTAGTTGGCCTGATTCTAGTATGTATTAGTATGTCAAAAGTATTAGGATGTACAGTGAACGGCTGATATACCTCCATTCTACTTAAATTTATCGTGTCGAATTATCTGATGTTATGTAATCAGTGCATGCCGTAAACAAAAAAACTAGAATCATCACCTCGTCGAGAGGTATTCGCTGACATAAGACTAGGTTGGAAGAGAGAGTTAGGAGTGATCAAATCAAAATCGGACATCAGTCCATGGAGTCTTTGACTGTTGGTTTCACTCACGTAGGGAATGCTGTAGCTCAAAGTCATTAACTCTTTTTCCCAAATCACTCATATCCATTAAGTCCTCATATTTTTCGTGTTATTATTCATTCTTGTGTTCATTGCATTTCTTTTAAACCTCTTTTCTGTACCTTAGTATGTCAAATGGAGTTTGGCATCTCTCTGCCTGTCTGTTTTCGACATAGAACTTTGCACATATGTGCGGAAGTTCAAGTCGCCACACTCCATGTAGCACACAAATCAAGAGAGGAAAGTACAAGAAATGCAAAATAGAGACAGTAGACAGGGATGAGACAAAAGGAGTAGTAATAACGAAGAACAAAACAGTTTCATTGGAAATCATAAGTCACAAGGAGTGGATGCATCTGCGCCGCAGAACGATTTTGAGCCATGTCACCAATTGTTTCCAACCATAGAGTTTTACCGTCCCGAGGACCCCAACCAGTTTGGAAGTCTACACCTTCCTATGTGGCTGGCTTAAACTAACTGTTGTGGATTTCATTGACTGGTGCCAAGTTTTTGTTTGACCGCCGCTAGCTTTTTTCCAGCCTGACCCTATATCAGCTAACATTACCCATTGTGGAGGAAGGCGATGACTAGGCATACGTAACACATGTCCTAACTATCTCAGTCTTTGTAGCTTCACGACTTCGTCGGTTGATTTCCCCTGTTTACCTAGAACTCGATGCCTAACCTCAATATTGCTCACCTTATTATGCAACTTCACACGGGAGATAAAGAGCAGGCAGCTATGATCAAAGACAGCTAATCTTTTCTTGTCTTCCACTTTCAATGACCAGGTCTCACTCACAGCCATAAAGGGGGACGGAGCGGACTGATGAGCAGTACACACGCGCTTTGGTCGATAGCCGTATATCACGTCTACGCCAGAGATGGCGTAAACTGGCAAATGCGAAACGAGCCCCCTGTATTCGTGCTGAGATTTCATCAGAGATCGACCCGTTGGGGCTGGTGGTACTCCCCTAATAAGTGAAGCGGAGTTTGGCATATCGAAATATAGCACTTCTATGCAGCCGTTCTACCTTGAAATTCAGTCTATATAGTGGATATAATTTGCTGGTGTATTCAGTCATTCATGATTATCTCAAATCATAATATGGCTCACTTGTCTGCAGAATAGTAGTAACTGTAGTAGAGAAGCAAGGTGAGGAAGGTGATGTGAGTAAAGGAGAATGATGCCCGGGAAGACTTCGTGTGCTCTATTATGCATTTCTATTTTCTTTTGCTTTGTGTGCTACATGGAGTGTGGCTACTTGAACTGCCGCACATCGGTGCAAAGTTCTATGTCGAAAACAGACAGACAGTTAAACCGTTAAATACACATGAAAGAGGCGAAATCAGGTAGTCTTCACTCTCTGTGAACTGCGTATGCAATTCTGATCAGGGATTGGTATATCAGTTAGAGGACCAGAAAGTACTCGACAGGCGTTTCGTCCCAGTTTGAGACTCTTTAGTAGTAAGCACACATCAGCCCATTGATTAGAGTCGAAGCTGGGGCCTTAAGGCTACAACGTAAACTTTCATACCGTTCTGACCCTTCTCAGACTTTGTGGTACAGTTTCGGTGTTATTAACATCTGGTGTAAATTGTCGTCTTAGGAAAACTGATGAAAAAAATGAAAGCTTAATTTTTCCTTTTCTTTCCTCTAAATATCAATTTTTTCTAAAATGAGTATAGCCAAATGCAAAGAACACTTCAAGTACCAAAGTGTCATCATTTCTAAATAGTTTGGGTGAGGTTGGCAGTGCAGGACAGTCGAAACGATTTGGTCGTAAACATGCAGTCGATTCAAATATTCTGGTAAGAAAGGCTTTTTCTTTGTCATATTTAGTTTTTCCATACACTGTTTAGTTGGTTACATTGTAATTATTAATACTATTGTTAAAACTTAATCAGTCAGTTATTGTTTGGTGGCTGAATATACTGAAAGTCGAGTGTTTCAGTAACCCATCATTGAGCCAGGGGTCCACTACTATAACTAACCTTGTCCTACTGGGCTCACCTGCTTTTGTTCTGCACTGATGAATCAGTCATTCTTAACTCCACCGATTCGTGTTATTCCAAGTGTGACCACGGATCGATTTCATTTGGAGAACACCATTGAAAACCAGCTAAGAGTTACTGGATTACGGGATCAAGCTCGTTAACCGCTAAGTCACTGGAAGGAAGCAATCTAGTGGTCCACGGCCCATAAATCCTAACTCCTCACAATTCGAAGATTTTAGCGCTAATATCTCCTGCCAATGTCATCTGTAAATGTGTGTGCTCACACGCGAGGAATGACTTGGTTAGACCCTAGTGGTCACAACTTCTCCCTAGAATAATTCAGGCAACTTCACCATGTGATCACTCATTCACTGGTGAACACAGCATAATTTTTCAAGTGTGTTCAGTTGTGGAGTAGGGTATTTGATGTTTTGTTTCAAATTTTGATCGTCCCCACGAGGGGGCATCCTTCTGAGGGGCCTCAAACTAGGAAGATAAAACAACTGTCTATCTGTTGCTTGACTAGTTTTTATTTATTTTTATGGTCTGTTTTTCTTTCTGTTTTCCACCTCAGGATCTGATCAGTACACTATCAGATAAGGTGGATGATAATGATGCCTTTTTATCTGAGATTAATTCGACGGCTACTGCTACCACTGCCTCAACAGCAGCTCAAAATGCTTCATCTGCTATGTCAAATCATAAATTATTAAATTCACCAAATCAAAATAGTAGTAGTGGTACTAGTACCTTTCTAACAGATCCTAGCATTTCGGATTCTACTGGTGTTGGTACAAAGGGGATTAGTCATTTAGATTCAGGTAAAGATGCTAGTGCAGCTGATCGTTTGGGACTTGGTGATTTAGCTGGTCTAACTGTCATCAATGAAGTGGATCCGCTATTAAGTGAGTTAATTTATTCATTTTTTAAAATTTTGTTCTCAATTTCTTTTCATTTGTTGCTGCATTCCACGGATTGATTGCGATCGGTAAATCGGAACATACTGCTTCTAATCCGGGACACACCTCTACTTCACTCTGCAGTCTCCTTCAGCTGGTTGGCTGTTTGGCTACACGATGTTACTCAACAGCCTTCTCGGCTTTCTGTGCCCAATCTATCCATCTCCATTTTTCCTGCATTGGGTTCTTGGTAGGTAATAGGTAGTTGTTGGCTAATTTTATTTTGATAGAATTCCATTGCTCCTGTTCCACAGTTCTGTGCAGATAATCGTCTGTTGCTGGGCAGCACCGACTTCAAACAGGCATTGCCTAACCCGGTGCTCTCCATCATCATACCCACGATGGACTCGAATGGACCACGTGATGATAATCTATCGTTATCGAGAGTTGGTTTAAGACTGCCTCTCTTTCTGAAACACATACGTAGACTCCAATCACGCCATGATCCGTGTCCGTTTTCGGTTACAATTAAATGGACATAAAATGAAGCCATTACGTTCCTCTGTTGGAAATGTTAGCTGATGTGGGTTTAGGTTGGAAAAAAGCTAGTGGTAGTCAAACAAAAGCATGACATCAGTCCATGAAATCTTTAATAGTTAGTTTAATCTAACCACTTAGTTAGGTGTTGAGGTCCTTAGGATGGTAAAAAGTGATATGGCTTGAAGTCGTTCTTAATGGCTCTGATTCTTTCGCTCTCTATGATCTTACATATCCATTAGACCGTATTGTTCTTCCATGTTGCTATTCTTTCTCCCTCACATTTTTGCGTATTATCGTCCTCTCGAATATGTTTCTCTGTTTCTGTTGTCTTCCTTTGTATGGGGCTTGGAGTGTGTGAACTTCAGTTGTTGCCACACTTCTGTGCAAAGTTCTAGGTTGAAACCAGTCAGTCAGTCGAATTCCTTGTTGCTTGCTTACCTATTCTAGACAGCTATTAATAAAAGTCGGCAATAGCCTTTTGGAAAAGTGCTTTTGGTGATACACGTGTGCCGCCTCCGAAACGTATATATGTTTATAGAGCTCACTAGCTGACTTGAGATAAGTGTTGTAAACCTGGATCTGAAGATTCCTCCAATGCTGTTATTTTGGTTGATGATAGTGGCTCGCAGTGTAAGATTCAGTATAAACTCGCCAGTTATCTGGATTTTTATCTTCTACCCCACTGAAATAATACTGAACGAGGCTAGTTTACGTCGACTCATGGTCTGTAGACAGTTATGGGTAGAATGATTAAGACTAGTTGCTGAGCAGCGCTCATCACAGAGACATTGATGTCTTACAAGAAGAAACAACCGCTGTAGCAGTAAAAGAAGTTAATGTTAGTTAAGGGGATGAAATACTTGTGTATGTCAATTCATTATTTATTCCTTGAGCTTTTTCTCTTTATGTCCCAAGTGGAATTTCAAGGGTTTCAGTCCTGAAGCTTTGAGATTTCAGTAGCAATGATATTGTTTTTACGGGGTATGACTTGCTAGTCTCACTCCCGTCTAACCTGCGGCCTTTACTGAGCATACTGACACCCACTGGCTAAGCAGTTGGGGCTTGGGAGGGCATCGGTGGCCAGAAATCAAATCCCGGAACACTTGCAAATGCATTTCAGTCCATTATGTGGAATATAAATAAGCATGAGAAGTGCAAAGAAACGACCAGTTGCTGTTGAAGATGGCTAGACTTCAACCTCCCCCTCCAAACGCTCTCATGTGGCCACTGCCTTCAAGCTACATCTGACATACATGTAACCTGGCTAGTGGAAGACATGTAAGTCTATCTTTCCGGAGAGCTAGAAAACCCGGACTGATTCGAAACATGTGTTTGTGTGCATGGGCTCCACAATCCGTGTAAAACCTTTCCCTGATCACCGTCAATCATGAGAACGGAGTGGCTCCTGACACTGCTCCACTTCACTGCCTCGTAGATCAGAACTCAAGTGAAAGACTTGGGTATGGATTAATGTCCCTTTAAGACAACCATCAACTGTTTCGGTCTGGGCGTTCGGACATTAAGTACGTGATCCCTCGCACAAACTATGAGACAACTGTTGAGGAAAAGATAGGCGGACACGCTAGTGTTTACAGAAAAAACCCAGTCCCACGCATTCAAACACCACACACAATAAAAGGATTTAAAACATCAGTAGTAGCTCATTCATGCAACCAAGGAACCTCTGAAACCGCCTTACGTAAAGTGCTTATCAATTCAGGCGTAGAAAGAGGGTTGACATTCAAACTACCACAGAGATCAATCCTATTGATGCCATCAAACAAATTAATTCAGTTCAGTGTATTTAGTATCCTACACTAACTCGTTGGCGTTAGCTGAGGCAACTCCTCAAATAAGTGAAGTGGTCAACACGCTCTACTACTTCACTACCTGTTTCTAAGCTAGGAGTTAATGTATTTCAGTACAATCCTGTAACATCAAATTACATCTGGCGGGAGCGAATCGCATGCCAAACATACGTGGATCGCAGCTCAAGGTGTTCAGAAGACTGCACTTTGTCAGCGTCTTCATCTAGGAGCATCGATGCTAGATTAGCATCGGTTGGTGCATCACGACTCCCTGGTTGGGGTCCACGAGATAGCTCAAAACGATGGCTCGAAACGTTATCGGATATGGCCAAGAATCGTAGTCAATGGCGAACGTGTTGCAATTTCCTTCTTTCTTCCTTCCCCGATGATAGTTAACGAATACTGTTGGAGCTTGTTAAGCATGACTGTTTTCCTTCCAGATGAAGTTCTTTATCCGTTCTCTACTTATATTTTTACATTTGATCTATGTTGTTTTATTATTATTGTGTGGCGCATCTTTCTTGGTGCCATATTGTACCAAGTTTTTAAGCGTTTTATGACTGTGTGTCTCAAGACAGTAAACTGTCTGCATTCATAAGATTGAAAAGTCAAAATATTTTGATGTACACGAGGTCAAATTGAAAGATGGCGATTACGTAATACAGTGATTAGAAATCAAAGGGTCAAAAAGCGAAAATTTAGGGTTTATTGATGGGTCTGTCGGAGTGACACAGCTGAAACCTGACCTCCATGTACTCAAAATAAATCCGTCGTAGGCCTAGACAGCAGAGTGATCTCCACTTTTTCATAACTTCTTCATAGACTGATAACAGAGGTCAAAGGTTATTGTCAGTTAGAAAAAAAGCGAATCAAGCTGCATGGTGATGATAACCATATTGGAAAAATTAGGAGTTGCTTTATGTAAACAAGAGAGTTGATAACTAATGTGATGAATAATAATAATTATTATTATTGATGGTTTCCTCAGAGTATGGCCAATCAATCTCCATTTCTTCCTGCCTATTTGTTCCTGGTTAGTTCGCTCATTACTAGAGATCTCTGATCTTTTCTGGCCATCTGATCTTGAGTATTGAGCGAAGACAACTGTTGATGAAGGTCTGAAGTTTGTTTGAGATGCTCTTTATGACGCACAGTGCAAGTCTCTGATACGTATAGTAGCACTGACTGATTTCACATTGGAGTTGGAAATCCGGATCTTATTTTTGATGCTGAGTGCTGTTGACCTCCACACAGACTTAAGAGTAATGGAAGCCTGTCTTGCTTTTCCGATTCTGGTTTTGATATCCTCGTCAGTTCCGTCGGCCTGTCGTTGAAACGATGCTTCCCAGGTAGGTGGGTAGGTGAAGGAGGTTGTTTCTGCTACCTTGTCATGAGACACACCAAACAAAAAAGAACAAACAAAAACAGGCCGCGTGTGACCGGCCTCAAGCAGTTGTCCCCTGGGCTCTGCGGTCACGCAACCAACTTCCACGGTGTGGGCAGCCGGGAAGTAACAATCGCCCTCACAATCCGAAATGCACACGAAACCTCTCTATTACTCACTCATCTTTGTCTTCATCTTCATCTCTATCATCTTGCCTTCCTTCCACTGATGCAACTCCTCGACTTGATAGCTCTCCACTTCCTCTCCACTCTGCGTCCACTAAAAACGATGGAAGCCAAAAAACCACCACCGACAGCCTCTTAAAGCCGCGCCACCAATTTCATATAGGAGCTCTTAATGTTAGGACACTTTGCCAAATAGGACAACAAGCATCACTAGCCAAGACCCTGGCATCACGAGCCATTGATGTATGCTGTGTTTCAGAAACACGCATACAAGACCCAAGTGTGGTTATTCACCTAACCCCACCTGGCCAACAGGTTGAATCTGCAAAATTCACCTTGAGGGTGTCAGGAGATGCCACAGCTAGTTCACGAGGATTAGCTGGCGTAGGGATAGCTTTGAGTACTAGGGCAGAAAAGACATTGCTTGACTGGATCCCGGTAGATAGCCGAATGTGTGCTGTCCGCCTGAACGGATCAGTAAGAAGGAGGAAGGACTGCACTACTCGCCGATGCCTTTTCGTAATCTCCGCCTACGCCCCCACTGACTGCAGTTCAGATGAAACGAAGGATGAGTTCTACCAAAAGCTGTCTAGTTTGGTGAGAAAGGCTAAACGCTCAGACATAGTCGTTCTAGCTGGTGACTTTAACGCTCAAGTAGGGAAATTGTGTCAATCTGAGAAGGATGTCGGTGGCACCTATGGAGTTCCGTGCCAGCGAACCGACAACGGTGACCGTCTCCTACAGTTCTGTTCTGATAATCATTTGTTTCTTGTAAGCACTAACTTCAAACACAAGGAGAGACACTGTTTGACTTGGAGACCCCCTTCATCAAACCAACGCTGGACACAAATAGACCACATAGCAATAAGCTATCGTTGGCGTGGGTCGGTAGGAGATTGTCGCTCCTTCTGGAACACGTGCGTAGATACCGACCATGCACTGGTCCGCGCTCGGGTGTGCTTACGACTGAACGGACGTAGGAAACAGCTGGCGGTAAAACCATCACGTCCCCAGCTCGATCAGGAAACTAAATCCGTATTTCAGGAAGAACTAGCTAAACACATATCTGTGTTCGACAGCTGTGCTCAC